CCCACATGGCCAGCCTCTGGGCAAGCCCCGGGAGAGCACACAGCCAGTGATTCATCCTGGGCCCGTTTCCTTCGAGAGGGATGGGGTGAGAGGCCCAGCCACGCAGAGCCTCTGCGCCTCTCGGACCCCAGAGATGCCAGCCAGCCACAGGAGGAGCTCGTGGTCCAGTGGGGAGTCCAGAAAGGAAAGTAGGCTTCACCACCTGGCATGCTGTGTGTCCTTAGACACGTGTGTGCCCTCTCTGGGCTGCGGGTACGTTTCCCACCCATACCACGAGGGGCCCTGTCCTGCCTGCTAGGAAATGATCAGTGGCCCGAGGCACAGCCCTGAGGCCTGTGGTCTTCCTCCCGTAGCTCCCTGGGCCAGACGGCACAGATGGGGCACCCCTGTCCCTGAGGCATAGAGCACAGAGATGGCTCTATTATTTGGAGGTCAGGCACTGTCTCGGTAGGGCCTTGTTAACCCCAGAGCATGTCTGGAGGAAGCTGTCCTGGTCGGGGAGGGGACTGAAGCTCACAGGCCAGGGGGCGGTGCCGGAGAGGGAACAGGAAGAACGGGGCAGGCAGGCGGCAGAGCAGAGGCTGCAGTGACCAGGGAACAGCCCCCTCCCCACCCCACAGGGAGACCCCCTCTGGGAAGAAGGCTGTCCACATGCTCCCACTAGGTCTCGTGCCTCCTGCCCTGATAGGGCCAGTGGGAGGGGGCCAAAGTAAGGGAGGGGCCGTGTGACTCCGGGCGTATCACCCGCCTGCCTGTGCCTTGGTTTCCTCATCTGCAGGATGAGGCCAGCTGTGGCGTTTACCTCCTAGAGCTGTCGTACAGCTTAAGTTAACAAACGTGGAGTGCTTGGCACAGCGTCCAGTGCTCAGTGAGTCCCCAGGGTGGTGGCTACTTCAACAAGTCTCCAGCCCCGGCTCCTTGCCTCCACCTCCCACGGGTGCTGGCCCCGGGCGGGCGGGGGAGCCGCAGAGACAGGAGCCCCGCCAGGGACCCTCTGAGCCCGGATTTGCAGACTCTGGCTTCCAGGAGGCCTCGTTTCCCTACCAAATGGGCAGGCAAATCTCCACACATTGTGGTTCCCTTTCCCAGAGGGCGGGCACCTGGGGCGCTGGCCACCCTCCCAGCCCCGGGGCTGGGCACCAGGGCTCAGACAGGCGGAGGCCCGGGAGCCCGTGGAGGGCAGAGGGTTGGCAGGGGCTGGGGCCTGCACAGGAGTTAGGGGGAGTCACACAGCCCAGGGAGCAGGTGAGGACCGTAACTGGTGGGGCAGGAGGGAGGCCGCGCGCAGAGGCTCCTGGTCCTTCCCAGCCTCTGTCCTGCTCCTCAGCCTGGCTCTGTGCTCAGGACTCGGGCCCATCTGCCTTCGGGGCTCTCCTGGTGCCCTCCCCTGCCTCCCTGCCCTCAGATTCCACCCCCCTGCTCACACAACTTCTAGGCACCGAATTCTCTGCCTGTGAGGGCACCAGCTTCAAGTGGGGGCATTTCAAGACTACTGAAGAGGGGTTGCCTGAACAGAGTTCAGACACCACCCTGACTAGTGAAGGCCTGGGAGCTAAGAGATGCTCAATG